AAATCATAATCTCCAGAAATGTCATCTTCTATGAACATATCCTCCCATTTCAAAACCTTTCACCTACTGATCATGATTCCTCTTCAATGTTTCCCACTCCTCCAGATTTTTCTTTTGATCATTTTCACCATCAAACAGTCCCCAATACCCATATAAGTCACCAACCTAATCCTACAAATACACAAAACCAACCTGATCAGAACCAAATTACTCATACAAACAACCAAATTGTTCCTCCTATAAATCAACCCATTCCAGATGCCTCTACTACCAGAAGATCATCTAGAACAAGAAATATACCATCCTACCTTAATGTGTACAAACATTCCCTTCCCAACTCCTCAGCCACTAACCTTACATACACTGAGGACCCTGATGACATTTCTGGAACATTTCCCAGTATCCCATTGAACATCATTTGTCCACAGCACAATTATCATCTTCTCATGCATGCTTTACTGCATCCATATCTACTTTGACTGAACCCAAAACTTACAAACAAGCTGTTAAAGACCCACTTTGGCAAGCTGCCATGAACAAAGAGTTACAAGCTCTTGAGAAAACTAACACATGGGTCTTAACTGATTTACCTCCTGATAAACACACCATAGGCTGCAAATGGGTGTTTAAAATAAAATATAAGTCAGATGGGTCAATAGAAAGGTATAAAGCAAAGTTAGTTGCAAAGGGTTACACCCAAGAAGAAGGTATAGATTATTTTGATACCTTCTCTCCTGTTGCTAAGATTACTACTGTTAGGCTTCTTCTTGCTGTTGCATCCATAAAACATTGGCATGTTCATCAGTTAGATGTGAATAATGCATTTTTACATGGTGATCTCAATGAGGAAGTCTACATGACCCCACCCCCTGGTTACTTATTTGATCCATTGCATAATTCTAAGGTTTGCAAACTAACCAAAAGTCTTTATGGCCTTAAACAGGCCTCTAGACAATGGTTTCAGAAATTGACCACATGTTTACTGAAATATGGCTTCAGCCAGTCTGTTTCTGACTGCTCATTATTTACTTTACAGTCTGATAATCATTTTCTGGCATTACTCATATATGTGGATGATATAATTTTAGCTGGTGATGATATTACTCAGATTACTGCTATTAAAAATCACTTGGATGATTGCTTTACAATCAAAGATCTTGGTCAGTTAAAGTACATCTTAGGCATTGAAGTTGCCCATTCTGAAAAAGGCATAAACCTTTGCCAAAGGAAATATGCTTTAGACATTTTATCTGATTCTGGTTTATTAGCTGGCAAACCTGCAACAACTCCCATGGACACTAATCTCAAATTAACCTCTGTTTCTACCAATGGAATCAAATCCATAGATCCTACCTCATACAGAAGGTTAATTGGTAGATTATTATACCTAACAATTACCAGACCAGACATTTCCTTTAGTGTGCAGGCTTTGAGCCAACACATGAGCAATCCTACTGAAGTTCACCTAGCTGCTGCACAAAGAGTCCTCAGGTATATCAAAAACTCTGTAGGGCAAGGTATTTTATTTCCAGAAATTCATCTCTTTCTTTAAGTTGTTTTTGTGACAGTGATTGGGCTGGTTGCATTGATTCCAGGAAAAGCATAACTGGCTTTCTATTTTTCTTGGGAAATTCTTTAATATCCTGGAAATCAAAAAAGCAACCCACTATAAGCCGGTCATCTGCAGAAAGTGAGTATAGAGCTTTAGCTTCAGCATCCTGTGAAGCTCAATGGCTTCTATACTTGCTTTCTGACTTAAAAATCTAACACAACTTTCCAGTGTCTATTTTTTCAGACAGCAAGTCAGCCATTGCCATTGCTCACAATCCAATCTTCCATGAGCGGACGAAACACATAGAAATCGACTGCCACCTTATCAGAGAAAAAATTTCCAAAGGCATTATTACCCTCAGTCATGTGTCTTCCAAAGAGCAAGTAGCAGATGTTTTAACCAAGTCCCTTGGTCCCCAGCCTTTTCAGTATCTAGTGTCCAAGATGAACATGTCAAACATCCATGTTCCTCTTGCGGGGGGTAACAACCATACATTTGGGCTTATTAATATCAGTTTAATATTCATGTACTTGGGCTTCTTAATATTAGTTTGTATTAGGCCCATTTGATGTAATACATTGTATCAGCCCATTAGGTTTTATATTTGCCATATATAAGGCTGAACTAGGGTTTACTGTACTGACTTTTCACTTTCTCGATTCTATCAGATCAATAAGATGTATTTTCATTTTCTCTCGATCTCTCGCTCTCTAGTTTCCATCTGATTTCATATGAACATCTTGTTCAATAAATCATATTATAGATGGAGATTTTAAATTGAATTAAATTCCTCTTAAATGATTTTAATTAACTTTGGTATTTCAACTTACACACGTACTCATACGAGTGTGTGTTGATCCGAAGGTATAGAGTCGAACCTATATAGAATAATTAATTACACATTTTAGTTTGGCTAGAGAATCAATTTTAAATTTATAATATTATTCTCTAATTTCATATTTTGTGCATGTCATTTGAATGTTCGCAGACATAATAATGTTCAATTCTTGTGCTAAAAACAACTGGAATGGATGTTAGGAAACATCCAATTCCAGTTAAGCGGGTCTGCACGTCATACTTTTTAACGAAAATACATACTTATGCTATGAAATGTCATACATTTGTCTACGTTTTTTTTTTTTTTTTTTTTTTTATGAGTAGTTTACAAGTATGCTTGCTACAAATATGGTTGTTTAACCTCACTGACTGCTAGCTAATAGAAGTGAGAGTAAAAACTTAAAAAACTTTGTGTTGAAAGATATGGTTTATTTTCTTGTTAGTAGACTTGCATGAAAGGAATATGAAAAACTTGTGCACAAAAAATTTCTGCACCAGCCGGGAATCGAACCCGGGTCTGTACCGTGGCAGGGTACTATTCTACCACTAGACCACTGGTGCGTTTTGTTTTAAATTTTAGTATTGCCGATATAGATTTGTGTTTCAAATTCTGGGACATCTCAGCTCCAGATGTGATAAATTCTGCTTGATGTTGTTCAGTGGCAAATAAAAGTGGTTTTAGAAAATCATGCAGACAAGCTAACGGAATATATGATGTTTTATTTTCCTTAATAAACTTTTCTTTCACTTCTTAACCCTGTTCGTGATGATAGTGTTCGACCAGATTTTTCAAGCGGAGGCGCTAGCTTAGAAGAAAGAGACCATGCAGAGAAGCTAATGGAATATCAGGTGACTGTCAAACATGACCTTCAACCTTAAAATCTACAATTTCTCACTTGCCTATTGTTATTCTATTGATATGTTTCTTGATTTTTATTTTTATTTTTCCTCAAATTTTGGAAAATTAAAGAATAAACCGGGAGGTAGAGTTAGATTAAACGCGCCCCATATACCACCTTCAGAGTTCGATGACCGTGAGAAGGGTGATCCACTTTATGGTAGGTTTCTCTATGTTGTTTGTAACTTTTTTTTTTTTTTTTGCAAGATGCCATGATATAAGTATAGTGTATAAGTATTTCTTGTTATGATCTCATTTTTGCTTTGTCGTTTGTATGATCTTTGAATTTCCAGCTAATTAGTGAATCAGAACCTCTTGATCCTTCACAGTGTAAGGCACATTAATCTGCTTTTTCGTTCACCCTCCTAATTTCATTGAGAAGCTTCAAATTGTGCAGCACATTTAGAAATACTTACTATATTTGTTACAAAAGACTGGGTTTACTATTTCAATTTTACTTCACATTTGGTTGCACAGGTTGCTGATAGAAACAATGATCCCGAGCTGTCAGATTTTATCCAGAGCGAGTTTCTAGAGGAGCAGGTAAAATCACACTGATGTTGAAAATCGACGTTAAATAACATGCAGAAAGTACAATGACAATTAACAATTGTACTTTGACGAAACTATATCACTTTGTGTGATGAACGAAATATTTCCGGTGTTGGCTCCACTTGTTTTTCAGGTCAAAACCATCAAGAAGATTTCTGAATATGTTGCTCAGTGAGGGGTCGGAAAGGGATACCGTACGACAGACTCGTGTCCTAAATTATTCATTTGTACGAGTTTTTTTTTTTTTTTTTTCATCTAAAATAACTGAATTTGGGAATGTCTTAAAACATGGGCAGGAACTTGGCACTTTGAAATGTTCCTCCATGAGGAAGATAATGTTGCTTAAGCACAACTGGTGTTATTTCATGCTATAATTATTATTCTTTTTTTTGCCATAAGTTTCATAGTTGATTAAAATAATAGAAATTATTAATCAATGGAAATTTTTTCAGTTTAGTTTATGAAATGTAACAGTCGCTCTCTTAAGAGAATGACCATATTTTGAACATAACACTTTAAATACTAATCAATCATCCAAAACTTCTAGTCACATCAAAATCCCAAACTCAAAATGTTGCAAAAAAAAAAAAAAAAA